TCTCTATATCAGACTGGGGGAGTACTGTGTACAGTCCAGTCTCTATACCACACCGGGGAGCACTGTGTACAGTCCAGTCTCTATATCACACTGGGGAAGCACTGTGTACAGTCTGGTCTCTATATCACACTGGGGGAGCTCTCTGTACAGTCCAGTCTCTATATTACACTGGGAGCACTGTGTGCAGTCCCGTCTTTCTATCACACTGGGAGCACTCTGTACAGTACAGTCTCTGTATCACACCGGGGGAGCACTGTATATAGTCCAGTCTCTATATCCCACTAGGAGAGCACTGTGTGCAGTCCAGTCTCTATATTACACTGGGATCACTGTGTACAGTCCAGTCTCTATGTCACACTGGGGTAATACTGTGTATATGTTACCAAAGGCGCTGCCGGATCTGAGGATTGTGATTCAATCACATTAACTGAGTTTTTAAGCTGATTTTCCAGATTGGAGTTCTATTCTCCATTACCCAGAATCCTGGGTGGATCCTGATAGATCTTAAATTAGTTCAGTCAAGAATTAGGGACAGATGGTTCAGGAAAGTTATTCGGAACCACTTCTACACACATAGGGTGGGAGATGTTTGGCACTCTCTTCCACAAGGGACAATGGATGCTGAATGAGTTGTTAATTCAATGAGCACAGTTATTGAGGAGGCTATGGCCTAGTGGTAGTATTGTTGGACGGTTAATCCAGAGACCTAGGTAATGTTCTGGGGACCCAGGTTCAAATCCCACCAAAGATGACGTAGTTTGAATTTAAGACAAATCTGGAATTAAGACTCTAATGGTGACATGAATCGATTGTTGAAAAACCCATCTGGTTCACTAATGAAATGGGATTGTGTTTGGCACTGCATCCACTCCCTCTACCACTGATGCTCAGTAGCAGCAGATGCACTGCAGAAATTCACCAAAGATCCTTAGACAGCACCTTCTAAACCCACAACCACTTCCATCTAGAAGGACAAGGGCAGCAGATATATGGGAACATGACCTTCAAGTTCCACTCATCATCCTGACTTGGAAATATATCCTCATTCCCTCACTGAGTTATAATCCTGGAATTCCCTCCCTGGTGGCATTATCTACAGCACATGGACTCCAGTGGTACAAGAAGGCAGCTCACCTCTTCAGGACAACTACTGATGGGCAATAAATGCTGGCCCAGACCGCAATGCCCACATCCCACAAAATAATTAAAAAAAAGAAATTCTAGCCTACATGTGACTCCAGACCCACAGCAATGTGGTTGACTCTTAAATACCCTTGGAGCAATTAGAATTGGGTAATAAATGCTGGCGTAGCCAGTGATTCCCTCATTCTGTGAATGAGTTTAAAAAAACCCATTAAATCAGAGATTGATAAATTGTGTTAAACTAAGGGATATAGACCAAAAGCAGATAATTGGGGTTAGGTATCAGATTAACAATTGAATATTGGAACAGCCTCAAGGGGCCTCCTCCTCCTCCGTCTGCTAGACCTGCTGAGTTTCTCCAGCAACTGTCCATTCATATTTCTGACCCCCAGCAGTATTTTGCTTCCATGTCCAGGGAGAAAGGGTGAGATGACGAGATGGGAATAGGACAGAGCAGATGGTAGAATGGCCTCTTCCTTTATGCTGCACAAGCTGTGTAGGGGGATGTCATGCAGACTGTCAGTGGTGAACTGGTTTGATGAAAGAAACTGTTACCAAAGGTCTGGTCAGATGCAACTTTCAGTAAATCAGACCCAAGGTGTGAATTGTGACTATTACTGACTCGGGGGAGGGAAGATCTCTCATGCAGCATTGTTCCACATTGCAAACGGTTAACTTCTTTGAAGTGTGGGTGCTAATTGCAAAGAAAAAGAGACTCATAAATGGAAAAGACACAGATCAGGCAAAACAACGTGAACATTAGCTGGCTCAGTGGTTAGCACTGCTGCCTCACAGCACCAGGGACCCTGGTTTAATTCCATCTTTGGCTGACTGTCTTGTGTGGAGTTTGCACGTCCTCCCTGTGGCTGTGCGGATTTCTTCTCACAGTCCAAAGATGTGTAGGTTTAGGGTGGATTGGTTGTGCTAAATTGCCCCATTGTGCCCAGGGGTGTTCAGGCTAGGCGCATTAGCCATGGGAAATGCAGCGTTACAGGATGGAGTGGGTCTGGGCAGGATGCTCTTCGGAGGGCTGGTGTATATTCAATGGGCCATTCGGCATTCCACTCTGTGGGGAGTCTATGATTCTATCCAGTGATGCTGGGAGGACTGGTCTGTAACAATTCATAGATTGCAGGCAGCTCAGAGGAGATTCACTCCAGAGGTGAAGGATCTGACTTACGAAGAGAGGTTGAGCAGTCTATACTCTCTGGAGTTTAGAAGAATGAGGGGAGATCTAATTGTGGTCTATAAGATGCTAAAGGGGATTGACAAAGTAGACGTAGACAAGACGTCACCCCGTGTGAGGTAACCGAGAACAAGAGGTCACAGTTTGAGGATGAGTGGGCGGCAAATTTAAAACAGAGATGAGGAGGAATTACTTCTCTCAAAGGGTCGTGAACCTTGTTAATTCACTGGCCCAGAGTGTGGTGGATGTCGGAACTCTTGAGTAAATTCAAGGAGCAGACAGATTTTTAATTAGTAACAGATTAAAGGGCTATGGGGTGTGGGCAGGAAAGTGGAGTTGAGGCCAAGATAAGATCAGTCATGATCGTATTAAATGGCAGGGCAGACACAAGGGGGCTGAATGGTCTCCTCTTGCTCCTAATTCTTAATATTCTTCCTGAAAGCATAACCCCAGACCCTCTGATTATCATCAGTTGCTAGTGTTGTGGAGAATTAAACCTCAGTGAACGCAATCGAGAGATTTACTGAGGGGGACAAAGAAGGAAATAGAGGAATAAAAGACTTGAATTGGCATAGCACCCTTTGTGAAATTTTTTTTTGGAAACCATTCCATGGAATTGCTGGCAAGGCCCTCATCCCTGATCGCCCTCCCTTAGATCCACTTTAGAGGGAAGTTAAGAGTCAGCACCATTGGGTCTGGAGTCACGTGTAGGCCCAGACCAGCTGAGGAGGGCAGATTTACCTCCTGAAAGGGGCGTGGGAGGGTCAGGTGGGCCTTTTACGACAATCAACAACGTGGTCAGCATCGGGTTGCCACTGCTGCAGCGCTGGGAAGACCTTCTGTCAACTTATGCACAGCAAGATCCCACAAAGTTGTAACGTGATAATAACCAGATCATTGACTTCTATGTTTTCTCTCTCTCTCTCTCTCTCTCTCCCTGAAGGGAGGTGACTATTGGTCAGGGGATAACTCCCTGGCCCATCCCTGACACTTTGCCATCTCCTTCCAAGCCAAGTTTACCTTTTTGCTCCCCCTCTCTCCCACCCCAGGACAGCTCATAACCCCTCCCCACCCCTCCCAGCTCTGGCACACAGAGGGAACCAAACATGCAACTTTGAAGTAGGGGTCCTGGAAAGCACCTGAAAATGTCAAGAGGGACAAGGAGACCCTGAGAGTGAGGACAGTCTTCTGAGCAGAGATCTAAAGTATAGCTGTAAAATGCCTGTAGCTGTTCCTTCTCTCAGATACCAGATACTGCCAGTCAACTTTCCGCAGTTAAATCTCCATCTGCTTTCTCCTGAGGGTGACTGTGATTTAATCCCGCTGCCACAGATTCGCAGCGCATGTGCAGCATGGAGTCCTGTAAGAATCAGTTATAACTCAAATCTTTTATTTCGACAACATGATAACACTTGGTCTCCGTACCCTCCGAGCTGAAAACCGGAAAGCGAGTCGGGGATCGTCCAATCTTTGCTGATGGGCTGAATGGCCTTTTCCTGCACCGTAAACATCTGCAATATAAGAGCAGGTCGATGCTGTTTCCTCTCGTTGACATTTGGGAAACCACATTTGCATCCTCACCATCAACATTTCTGTTGAAAAAGCCCCTTAATTTCTCAAAACAACCGTAACGAAGGCCAGCAACAGCAAGTTTAAGAGTTGATGGCATCCTCGGTGCGCTGAGTCAGTGCCGTTGGTGGACCCTGTTGGCACAGGAACACGAGATCAGAGCTGGCAGAAAACATTCGGCCCGTTGAGATAGCCGAGCCATTCAGCACCATCTCAACTCAACTCAAACACCCTGGCCGCTCCCCCACATCCTTAGATACCAAAAATCCATCCATCCCAGCCATAAATAGATGTAGCATCCACAGTTCCCCAGGAGAGAGAATTCCCAAGATTGAGTACACGAGTCAGGATATCATGTCGCAGCTTCATAAGCCTTTGGTTAGGCCACACTTAGAATATTGCGTACAATTCTGGTTGCCATATCACAGGAGGCTTTGGAGAAGGTGTAGAAGTGGTTTATTGGCTGAATTAGAGGGAATGAGCTATAAGGAAAGGCTAGGAAAACTGGGATTGTTTTCTCTGGAGCAGTGGAGGCTGAGGGGAGACTTGTTAGAAATCTATAAAATTGCTACAGGGTTGATGGTCAGAACCTTTCTTCCCAGAGGTGAAATGCCTAATACAAGGGGGGGGCATGCATTTAAGGTGAGGGGGGGAAAGTTCAAAGGAGATGTGAGGGGCAAGTTATTTACACAGAGAGTGGTAGGAGTCTGGAACCCGCTGCCAGGGGTGATGGTGCAGGCAGATACAGTAGGGGTGTTTAATGGAGTTTTAGATGAGCACATGAATATGCAAAGAATGGAGGGACATGGACCAACAGCAGGCAGATGGGATTAGTTTAATTTCGCGTAATGTTCAGCACAAGATCATGGGCTGAAGGGGCCGTTCCTATGCTGTAATATTCTATGGTCTATGTTCTATTCCTCACCATCAGGTGAACACGTTGCTCTTCATCTCTGTTCCCCTCCCCCCCACCGTCACAGACTCATGCAGCATGGAAACAGATCCTTCGGTCCAACCAGTCCATGCCAACTATGCTGTCAGGGAAGAGCACTATAGAAATGTGGAGATTGTTTAAGGAATGCATACTGCATGTGCTCGATACGTTTGTCCCTAGCAGGCAGGGAAGATGCGGTCGAGTGAGGGAGCCTTGGTTCTCATGAGAGGTCGAACGACTGGTTAAGAGGAAGAAGGATGCTTACTTAAGGTTTAGGAAACAAGGATTAGAAAAAGCTCTAGAGAGATACAAGTTAGCCAGGAAGGAGCTGAAGAAAGGGCTTACGTGAGCTATAAGAGGGGATGAGAAAACCTTGGCAGACAGGATGAAGGAAAAACCCAAGAGTTTTTACACGTACGTGAGGAACAAGAGAATGACCAGAGAAAGGGTAGGGCCGATCAAGGATTGTAAAGGGAATTTGTGTACGGAGACTAAAGGGATAGGAGAGGTCCTTAGTGAATACTTTTCTTCGGTATTCATAACTGAGAGGGACCTAGTTGTAGAGGAGGACAGTGTGAAACAGGCCAGTAGGCTAGAGGAGGTGGATATTAGTAAGGAAGATGTACTGGGAATTTTGAGGAACTTGAAGGTAGATAAGTCACCCGGGCCTGATGGGATTTATCCAAAGATTCTATGGGAAGCGAGGGAAGAGATCGTAGGGCCGTTGGCGATGATCTTTTCGTTCTCACTGTCCATGGGTATAGTGCCGGAAGATTGGAGAGAGGCAAACGTCATTCCCTTGTTCAAAAAAGGGAATAGGGATAACCCCGGAAATTACAAATTATTGAAAAGGGCTTTGAGAGATAGGATTTATAATCACTTGGATAGGCACAGTTTGATTCGTGATAGTCAGCATGGATTTGTGAGGGGTAGATCATGCCTCACAAACCTTATTGAATTCTTTGAAGAGGTGACCTAACACGTGGATGAAGGTCGAGCAGTGGATGTGGTATACATGGATTTAAGTAAGGCGTTTGATAAGGTTCCCCATGGTAGGCTCATGCAGAAGGTAAGGAGGCATGGGATAGGGGGAAATGTGGCAGATTGGATTTAGAATTGGTTGACCCTTAGAAGACAAGGGTAGTAGTGGACGGAAAATATTCAACATGGTGCTCAGTTATGAGTGGTGTACCACAAGGATTTGTTCTCGGTCCTCTACTACTTGATGATTTTTGTAAACGATTTGGATGAAGGAGTGGAAGGATGGATTAGTAAGTTCGCGGACGATACGAAGGTGGGTCGAGTTGTGGATAGTGCGGAGGGCTGTTCTAGGTTACAAAGGGACATTGATATATGCAGAGCTGGACTGAGAAGTGGCAGATGGAGTTTAACCCTGAAAAGTGTGAGGTGATTCATTTTGGAAGGACAAATTTGAAAGCAGAATACAGGATTAACGGAAAGATTCTTGGCAGTGTGGAGGAGCAGAGGGATCTCGGGATTCATGTCCACAGTTCCCTGAAAGCTGCCACCCAGGTGGATAGAGTTGTTAAGAAGGTGTATGGTGTTTTAGCTATCAATAATAGAGGGATTGAGTTCAAGAGCCATGAAGTTATGCTCCAGCTATACAAAAGCCTGGTTCGGCCACATCTGGAGTATTGTGTCCAGTTTTGGTCACCTCATTACAGGAAAGATGTGGAAGCCTTGGAAAAGGTGCAGAGGAGATTTACCAGGATGTTACCTGGAAGGGAGGGAAGGTCTTACAAGGAAAGGTTGAAAGCGCGAGGGTTTTTCTCTTTAGAACGACAAAGGATGAGAGGTGACTTGATAGAAGTGTACAAAATGATCAGAGGTGTAGATAGAATGGATAGCCAGAGACTTTTTCCTCGGTGGAGGTAGCTATTATGAGAGGACATAGTTTTAAAGTAGATATAGGGGAGACGTCAGAGGTAGGTTCTTTACTCAGAGAGTGGTAGGGGCGTGGAATGCATTGCCAGAGAGGGTAGTGGAGTTGGCCTCATTAGGGGCATTTAAGCAGCTATTAGATAGGCATATGGATGATAGTATAAGGTAGGGGTGGAGGTTAGATAGGCCTTAGGTTTAGGGTAAAAGTTCAGCACAACATCGTGGGCCGAAGGGCCTGTACTGTGCTGTACAGTTCTATGTTCTATGTTCCCAAACTAAACTAGTCCCACCTGCCTGCTCCTGGCCCATATCCCTCCAAAACCTTTCCTATTCATATACTTACCCAAATGTCTTTTAAACATTGTAACTGTACCCACATCCACCAGTCTCTCTGGAATTTCATTCTGCACACGAATCACGGTCTATTGTAAAACCATTGCCTCTCATGTCTTTTTAAATTCTTTCTCCTCTCGCCTTAAAAATACACGCCCTAGTCTTAAAATCAACAGCCATAGGGAAAAGACACCTGCCATTGACCTTACCCGTACCCCTCATTATTTTCTAAACCTCTATAAGGTCACCCCTCTTAACCTCATACGCTCCATTGAAAAAAAATCCCAGACTATCCAGCCTCTCCTTATAACCCATCCCTCCTTTCCCAGCAACATCCTGGTAAATCTCTTCTGAACCCTCTCCAGCTTAATAATATCCTTCCTATAACAGGGAGACCAGAACTGGACACAGTACTGCAGAAGAGGCCTCACCAATGTCCTGTACAACCTCAACATGACATCCAACTCCTATACTCAAAGGTCTGAGCAAAAAGACAAGTGCGCTTTTTAACCACCCTGTCTACCTGTGACGCAAACCTCAAAGAATTATGTACCTGAACTCCTATGTCACTCTGTTCTACAACACTACCCAAGGCCGTACTTTTAATTGTAGAAGTCCTACCCTTGTTTGTTTTACCAAAATGCAATACCTCGCAATTATCCAAATTAAACTCCAGCTGCCACCCCTCAGCCCATAGCTCCAATTCATCAAGATCTCTTTGTGATCTTGGATAAGCTTCTTTCACTGCCCAGCAATTTTGGTGTCATCCACAAACTTACCAACCATGCCTTCGACATTCCCATCTCAATCATTTATGTAAATGACAAGCGAAAGAGGGCCAGCACCAGTCCCTGTGGAACACCGCTAGTCACAGGCCTCCAGTCCGAAAAACAGTCCTCCTCCACCACTGTCTATCTCCTACCTTCAAGCCAATTTTATATCCAATTAGTCAGCTCACCCTGAATCCCCTGTGATCTAACTTTACTGATTACTCTACTATGCAGATCCTTGTCACAGGCTTTACCAAAGTCCAAATAAACAATGTCCACCACTCTGCCTCCATCAATCTTTTTGGCTACTTCCTCAAAAATTTCAATCACGAGATGTTCATTTAAGAGGGATTAGTTCTGTCCCGTTTTTCTTGAAGAGGCATGCTGTAAAACCTGGTGAAGAGGTATCTGCTCCATGGAAAGCACAGTAAATAGCTTTGGGGTCTTTATAAAGACAAAAGAAGAATGATATGGTAGAGTCAGGCTCACACAGACCCAGGGTTTTAGTTTTTGCTTTCAGCTGTTGATGTTGGAAGTTGAAGCTGCTACATACAGCTCTCTCTCTGCTGCTAGATTCTTTCTGGTGGTGTTCCTTCTCCTGGACTGGAGGAGACAGCAAGTGAGGGAAATCTGTTTTGCTGCATTTGCCTTTGACAAGCATGTGTTTATGGAATTTTGCTATATTAGAACAGTTGATGAATTGGAGTTAAATAATATATTATCTTGTTAAGTATTTCGATAGAGGTAGAGTTGTTTCAATTTTTGTTTCTGTTTGTATTTTAACCGTGGTGTAAGAATAAAGTGTGTTTTACTTAAAGCCTAGTAGTTTGACCAATCAAATCGCCTTACACTTGCCTCTAAATATGATAAAAGGTAGGGTCTAGGCTATCTCTTTGATAATGTTTTGAGGGAATTTGGTCTGATCTATAACAAATGATATCTAAAATACAAACTATATTGACAGCCCATGAATGGTTGGTCCTCATCAATGGCATATCATGCCAACACTTTCAGTGGGGACTGGTTAATATTGCGATGCCATCTGCTCATTCTCCCTGGCAATCTATTCATCTCTGCCCCCACTCCTCAAAAGCATGCTCCCACTCATTGCCACCCCATCCCCAAAATCGCCCACTCTTTTTACTTTTTCATTCATTCCCAGGCCGCGAGCATATGGAACAGAATTAGGCTGTTCAGCCCCTGAAGCCTGTTCCACCACTCACTGGGTCTGTGGTCTAATGCCCTATCCCTGCTTTTGGCCCATATGCCTTCATACATTTGGCCTAACAAAGCTTTATCTATCTCAGATTTAAAAGTAGCAACTTATCCAAAGAGATCTAAACTGAAGACAGTTCCAAACTCTACCGCCCTTGGTGTGTGGAATCAGATGTTCTCTTTTCCAACAATCAGCAATGGTCATCATTAGATTCTCAGTTCCAAATTTTATTGCCCATCCCTAACTGCCCCTTAAAAAGGTGGGGGTGAGCTGTCTTCTTGAACCGAAGCAGTCCCATGTGCCGTAGGGACACCCATACGGGGCCAAACAGCAAGGGGTGCTGGGTATTTTGGCCAAGTAAAACTCTGATGTCACAAAACCCAGATGCCAGACACAGTGTCATTAGGGACGGAGTTCTAGGATTTAAACCCAGTGACACTGAAGGCCAATATATTTCCAAGTACTGGGACCCTTATTGTTTGTTATATACATAAATGATATAAATGAAAATGTTGGGGGGATGTTAAGTGAATCTGTAGATGACATCAAGTTTGGAAGAATGTTTAATAGTGAAGAAGATAACTTCGACTCCCTACAGATTCCCTCTCTGCAGTTTCCATAGTGTAGTGGTTATCACGTTTGTCTCACCCACGAAAGGTCCACAGTTAGATCCTGGGTGGAAACGTTATTGGGGCAGCACAGTGGCTCATTGGTTTGCACTGCTTCCTCACAGCGCCAGCGACCCGGGTTCGATCCCAGCCTTGGGCGACTGTCTGTGTGGAGTTTGCATGTTCTCCCTGTGTCTGCATGGGTTTCCCTCTGGGGTTCTATGTTCTAGGATGGTTGTAAGTTACAGGAAGATATAAATGGGTTGGTCAGATGGGCACACAAGTGGCAGATGGTACTTAACCCTAATAAATGTGAGGTGATGCACTTTGGAAGAAGAAACAAGATGAGGGAGTAGTTAATGAATGGTTGGACACTGGGTAGGAACAGAGGGATCTTGGGGTAATTATTCACAGATCCCTGAATTCAGAAGAGAACACTAAGAAGGGATTATGGGATACTTGCTTTCATCTGTCGTGGCATCGTTTATAAGAGTAAGGAGGTAATGTTGGAGTTGTACAGAGCATTGGTCAGGCCAGTGCAGGAAGGATGTGATAGCACTTAGGGGGGTTACAGAGGAGGTTCACCAGGATATTACTCAGAATGGAGACATCGATCTGTAAGGAGAGACTGGATAGGCTTGGATTGTTTTCTTTAGAGCAGAGAAAACTGAGGGGAAACATGATTGAGGTATATAAGATTTTGAGGGGTATGGACAGAGTAAACAGAGAACAGCTGTTCCCCTTGGTTGAGGGGCCAATCATAAGCAAACATAGTTTTAGGATGAAGGACAGGAGATTCACAGGGGATTTGGTGAAAAGCCTTTTCACTCATCGGGGTGGTGGGAATCTGGAATGCACTGCCTGGAAAAGTAGTGGAGGCTGGAAACCTTACAACCTTTGAAAAAAATTTGGATGAGCACTTCAAATAGCATAACATTCAAGGATATGGTACAAGTGCAGGAAATTGGGATTAGCGCATTTTAAGTGGTAGTTATTGTCGGTGCAGACTCGATGGGCCGAAAGGCCTTTACTGTGCTGTACGAATCAATGATAGGTCAGGATGGGGAGTGGCTCGGAGAGGAACTCGCAGGGGCTGGTGTTCCCACGTATCTGCTGCACTTGTCCTTCTAGATGGAAGTGGTCATGGATTTGGAAGGTGCTGCCTGAGGATCTTTGGTGAATTTCTGCAGTGCATCTTGTAGATGGTACACACTGCTACTACTGAGCGTCGGTGGTGGAGGGAGTGAGATGTTTGTGGACATGATGCCAATCAAGCGGGGGCTGCTTTGCCCTGGATGGTGTCGAGCTTCTTGAGTGTCGTTGGAGTTTCACTCATTCAGGCAAGTGGGGAGTATTCCCTCACACTCCTGACTTGTGCCTTGTAAATGGTGGACAGGCTTTGGCTGGAATTAGAAGGTGAGTTACTCACCATTGTGTTCTGACCTGTGCTTTTAGCTGTTGTGTTAAATGCCTGGCCCAGTTTTTGGTCAATGGTAACCCCCAGGTTGTTGATATTGGGGGTTTTCAATGATGGTAACACCATTGAACATCAAGAGCTGATGGTTAGATTCTCTCTTGTTGGAAATGGTCATCACCTGGCATTTGTATGGCACGAATGTTACTTGCCACTTGTCAGCCCAAGCCTGGATATTGTCCAGATCTTGTTGCACTTGGACATCATCTGCTTCAGTATCTGGCTGGAGGATGTTACAGAGATTGGGGGCGTCAGGTCTGAATGAATTGCACCCCATTTCAGTTGAGGTGGAATGGAAGAGATTTACCAGGATGAGTTCAGGAAATTGGAGATGCTGTTCATAAATCGGAGGAACCAAGGCTTGTCTCTTCAGGGAAAAGGAGGCTGAGGAGATTGAGGCATGTATAAGATTACGACATTGTTAAGATATAGCACAGAAAATAAAATGCTAGTTACTAGGGGAGGAGGCTGAATTCTGAGGAAGAGGTGCAATGGTAATATGTGAAAGAACATTCAATCAATGAGAGGTCGCGACTTGGAAGGGATACGCACGGGGGTAGTGGGTGGACGATGATGGAGGTGAACACAATGACGGATTTCAAGAGGAAATTGCGAAGGGACCTGGGGGAAGGGAACTGGGTTGCTCGGCAGAAGGGGGAGCCAGCATGGGAGCTGATGGGCCAACTGGCCTCTGTCGGTGAATGACGCCGCAGCGGAGGGACCGGGGCGAATCGCGTGGGCGCTCGGATCCCACTTACCAATGACGTTGACCCTGGAGCGGGCACACATCTCCGTGCCAGCGCCGACGTTCTCCAGGCAGCACTCGATGGTGCCCCCTGGCTGCACGGAGGAGAAGCCCGGCACACGGAAGGTGCCAATTCCACCAGCTTCTTCCAGGATGAGGACGTGGTTCTCGGACTGGGCAACTGCAGTGGTCCCCGCTTTCCGCAGCTCGAAGTGGCACCGGTCGGTGGAGTTACTGGGCCCGCACGTCACGCCCAGGCCCTCGGTGCCGACACAGCGCAGGTTCAAGCCCCACTGGAAATTTAGCTCTTCCCCGTGTTTCACCCTGACCTCGAAATGCGCTGGCCAGAAAACATCAGTGTCTGCAAACACGGGAGAACATGTGTCACTGACGGGAGAGACTCGACACATCCGCGTGTGGAAGAAGACGAGAATAGATGGGAGGCCCATCAGGCTTCCTCCACCATTTCCACGCCGACCAATGCTGGGCTCCCACATCCCCTCATTCATTCAAATCAATCTAATGATGGAGCCTCCGGGAGAGAGATTCCCAAAGATATTCCTCTCAATGTGCCCCTGAGCTCCTGGCATAGGGTCACATAGCACAGAAACTGTCCCTTCTGCCCAACCTGTCCATGCCGACCAGGTTTCCCAAGCTAATCTAGTTCCATTTGCAAGCATTTGGCCCATATCCCTCTAAACCATTCCTGTTCATATACCCATCCAGATGCCTTTTAAATGCTGTAATTGTACCAGCCTCCACCACTTCCTCTGCCAACTCATTCCAAACACACAACATCCTCTGCATGAAAAAGTTATCCCTCAGGTCACTTTTAAATCTTCCCCGTCTCAGCTTAAACTCACTGCTTTTTGTCATGTATATAAATGATTTGGATGTGAATATAGAAGAAATGGTTAGTAAGTTTGCACATGACATCAAGATTGGAGGTGAAGTGGACAATGAAGAATGGTACTTCAGAGCACAACAGGATCTTGATCAAATTGGCTGATGGACCAATGGAGGGGGCAGATGAAGTTTAATTTATAGAAATGTGAGGTGTTGTATTTTGGAAAGGCAAACCAGGGCAGGACTTATATATTTAATGGTGGGGCCCAGGAAAGTGTTGCTGAATAAAGAGACTTTGGAGTGCAGGTTCATAGTTCCTTGAAAGTGGAGTCACAGGTAGACAGGATACTGAAGAAGGCAATTGTTATACTTGCCCTGATTGGTGCAGTGCATTGAGTGCAGGAGTTGGGAGGTCATGTTGCGGCTGTACAGGACATCAGTGAGGCCACTTTTGTAATACTGCATTCAATTCCAGACTCCCTGGTAGAGAAAGGATGTTGTGAAACTTGAAAGGGTTCAGAATGTTGCTGGGGTTGGAGGGTTTGAGCTATAAAGAGAGGCTGGGGCTATTTTCTCTGGAGTGTCAGAGGCTGACGGTGATCTTATAGATGTTTATAAAATCATGAGGGGCCGGGATAGGGTGAATAGCCACAGTAGGGGAGTCAAAAACTAGAGGGTGTAGGTTTAAGGTGAGAGGAGAAAGATTTAAAAGGGACCCGACGAGCAACATTTTCACACCGAAGGTGGCACATGTATGGAATAAGCTACCAGAGGAAGTGGTGGAAGCTGGTACAATAACCCTTACCCTGGGGAAAAGACCTTTGTCATTCACCTTATCTATGCCCCTCATGATTTTATAAACCTCTATAAGGTCACCCCTCAGCCTCCTACACTCCAGAGACAAAAGTCCCAGCCTATTCCACCTCTCCTTATAACTCAAATCTTCCAGTCCCGGTAATGTCCTTGTAAACCTTTTTTGCATCCTTTCCAGTTTAATAACGTCCTTCCTATAGCTGGGGTGACCAGAATTGTATGCAGTACTCCAAATGTGGCCTTACTAATGTCCTGTACAGCTGCACCATGACCTCCCATCTCCTATACTCAATGCATTAAGGAGCGAAGGCAAGTGTACCAAATACCTTCTTCACCGCCCTGTCTACTTTTGATGCCACTTGCAAGGAACTATGTAGCTGTACCCCTAGGTCTCTCTGTTTGACAACACTCTCCAGAGTTCTATCATTAACTGTGTAAGTCCTGGCCTGGTTTGTCTTACCAAAATGTAACATCTCGCATTTATCTAAAGTAAACTCCATCTGCCACTCCTTGGCCCACTGGCCCAGTTGTTCAAGATCCCATTGTACTCTTGGATAACCTTCTTCACATTTCATTATGCCACTAACTTTGGTGTCATTCGCAAACATACTAACCATATCTCCTATAATTTTAATTCAAATAGTTTATATGTATGACAAACAACAGTGGATCCAGAACTGATCCTTGCAGCATCTTGCTAGTCACAGTCCTCCAAACCGAAAAACAACCTTCCACAGCAATACTCTGTCTCCTACCATCAAGCCAATTTTGTATCCAATTGGCTAGCTCTCCCTGGATCCCATGTGATATAACCTTTCTAACCAGCTTACCATGCAGGACCTTGTCAAAAAGTCTTGCTAAAGTCCACATAGACAACGTCCGCCACTCTGCCTTCATCAAATTTCTTCATATGTTCTTCAAAAAACTCAATCAAGTTTGTGAGACACAAAGCCATTCTGACTATCCCTATTCAGTTCTTGCCTTTCCAAATACCTGTAGGTCCTGTCTCTCAGAATGTCCTCCAATGACTTAATAAAAACTGAAAGAACCGCGGATGTTGTAAATCAGGAACAAAACCAAAGTTGCTGGAAAAGCTCAGCAGGTCTAGCAGCATCTGTGAAGTGACCCTTCCTCAGATCTGATGGTGGCTGGGAAAACATCAGTTTATATGCAGAAAATAGAGAGGTGGGTGGGGTAGGGAGTAAACGATAGGATAGAGCCCAAAGAGAGAGAAAGACAGTTGGACAGACAAAGGAGTTGCTAATGATCAGGCTGGGAGGGTGAGCAGTTGTTAATGGGGACTGTTAGTGACTAACATCAGGGGGTGTGTAATGGCAGGCTGTGTGAAAACAAGGCCTGGTATGTGGGGTGGGGGGCTGGGACATGGGAGAGTTTAGGCCCTAAAATTATTGAACTCAATATTTTATTGAGTCTGGAGGGCTGTAGGGTCCCCAATCGGAAAATGAGGTGTTGTTCCTTCATCTTGCGTTGGGCTTCGCTGGAACACTGCAGCAAGCCAGAGACAGAGATGTTGGCCAGGGAGCAGCGTGGTGCGTTAAAGTGGCAGGCAACAGGTAGTTCAGGGTCTTTTTCGCGAGCAGGACGTAGATGTTCTGCGAAGCAGTCACCAAGTCTACGCTTCGTCTCCCCAGTGTAGAGGAGACCACATTGTGAGCAGCGAATACAGTAGACTAGATTCTGGGAAGTGCAGGTGAAGTGTTGCTTCACCTGGAATGTATGTTTGGGGCCTTGGATACTGGGGAGGGAGGAGGTAAATGCGCTGGTGTTGCACCTTTGCTGGTTACAGGGGAAGGTGCCGTAGGGCTGTGGGGATGTGTTGGGGGTGAAGGAAGTGTGGACCAGTGTGTCCCGGAGGGAACAGTCCCTGCGGAAGGCGGACAAGGGAGGGGAGGGGAATGTGTGTCTGGTGGTGGCATCTCACTGGAGGTGGTGGAAATGATGTCCGCTGATCTTCTGGATGTGGATGCTGGTGGGATGGTAGGTGAGAATAAGGGGAACCCTATCGCTGTTGTGGGAGGGAAGAGAAGGGGTGAGGGTGGGAGTGCGGGAGATGGGTCAGACCTGGTTGAGGGCCCTATCGACAACGGAGATGGGGAATCCTCGGTTGAGGAAGAAGGTGTTTTCCTGAAGAAGGGTCTCGACCTGAAACGTCAGCTTTCCTGCTCCTCTGATGCTGCTTGGCCTGCTGTGTTCATCCAGCTCTACACCTTGTCTGTGCAACTGTCTTTCTCTCTCTTTGGGCTCTATCCTATCATTTACTCTCTACCCCGCCCACCTCTCTATTTTCTGCATATAAACTGACGTTTATCCAGCCACTATCAGTTCTGAGGAAGGGTCACTGGACCCGAAACGTTACCTCTGTTTTTCCCTTCACAGATGCTGCCAGATCTGCTGAGCTTTTCCAGCAACTTTGTTTTTGTTCCTTCAATGACTTACCCACTACCACTCACCAGTCTACAGTTCCCTGGCTTTTCCTTGCAGCCTTTCTTAAATGGTTGCACAAAATTAGCCATCCTTCAGTCTTTTGGCACCTCACCTGTGGCTATCAATGATACAAACATCTCCGCTAGGGTCCCTGCAATTCTTCCCTCGCTTCCCACAATGTCCTGGGATACCTGTGATCAGATCTCAGGGATTTATCTGCCCTTATGCATTTTGAGACCTCCGGCACCTCCTCTTCTGTAATGTGGACCCTTTTCAAGACATCACTATTGATTTCCCCAAGTTTCCGAGCTTTCAGGTCTTTCTCCATGGTAAATACTGATGCAAAATATTTGCTATAGATCCCACCCATCTCGTGTGGTTCCACACATTGACGGCCTCATCGATCTTTAAGGGGCTCATTGTAAGGATTCTAGGATGGCAGAAGGAGAGATTGAGTTGGTTGAGACTGTATTCCTGGGAGTTTAGAAGAATTGAGGGGGGAATCTCACAGAAACCTATAAAATTCTAACAGGTCAGATGCAGGAAGGGTGTTCCTGATGGTGATAGAGCTCAGAGCTAGAGGTTAAGTTTAAGGATGAGGGGGCAAATAATTTAGGACCGAGATGAGGAGAAATGTCTTCGCTGAGAGAACGGTGAACCTGTGGAATTCTCTGCCACAGAAAGCGGTTGAGGCCAAAACATATATAACACGGTGTGCATCTGGATAAACACAGCAGACCAGGCAGCATCAGAGAAGCAGGGAAGCTGACGTTTCGGGTCGGGAGTCTCATTGAGACATATCGGATTCTTAAGGGGTTAATGCTGACAGGATGTTTCCCCTCATGAGAGAGTCTAGGACCAGAAGGGGCAGATTCAGGATAAGACTGAGACGAGGAGGAATTTCAGCTCTCAAAGGATCGGGAGTGTGAGGAGTTACACTGAGGAACTGCATACTCGGAGGGTCAGTGCTGAGGGAGTGCTGAACTGTTGGAGGGTCAGTTCTGAAGGAGCGGGCACTGTCAGAAGGTCAGCGCTGAGGGGACGCTGCATTGTCAGAGGGCCATTTATGAAGAAGCATCCTCACCCGAAATATCAGCTTTCCTGCTCCTCTGATGCTGCCTGGCCTGCTGTGTTCCTCCAGCTCCACACTGTGTTATCTCTGACTCCAGTATCGGCAGTTCTTACCAGCTCTGAGGCCAAAACATTATTTATTCAAGACAAGGGTAGATATAGCTCTGGTGGCTAAAGGGATCAAGGGATATAGGGGAGGGGGGTTGTGGGAATGGGGTAGACATATTGAGCTCAATGTTCAGCCACAATCATATCGAATGGTGGAGCAGGCTGGAGGGGCCTAATGGCCTGCTCCTGTTCCTATTTTCTACATTTCTATTCAACACTAAACACCTCAGCTTTAAGTCTCCTTACCTGGATTGACGCCCAATGAAACAGTGGAGCAAATCAGACTCTTCAGATGGTTCAAGCGAACATAACAGAAGTAGGTGCCGCTGTCGTTCAGCATGACGTGTTTGAGGGTAAGGGTTGCCTCGTTCGCCCTGTGCCAGTCAGGGCGTAACATGGTCCTGTTCTTGTACCAGGCATTCTGGCCATCACCAATGGAGTCTTCCATCGCCACATGCACCACCAAGTCATTGCCATTCGAGCTTTTCTGCCAGATAACACTGGCAGACTCAGACACACCAGAGAAGTGGCACGGGAGGATCACAGGGTCTCCACATGTAGCCTTTACTTCAAATGCCTCATTTTTGCACATGGTCTGTCCTACGGGACAAAGAGACTTCGATTGTGACATTCCATCATCCCCTCAGGCAGCCTGAGAGGCACTCTCATTGAAACATATCAGACTATTAAGGGTTAATGCTGAGAAGATGTTTCCCCTCATGGGAGAGTCTGCGACCAGCCTCAGGATAAGACTGAGACGAGGAGGAATTTCATCTCTCAAAGGGTCGGGAGTGTGAGGAATTATACTGAGGAGGAACTGCATACTTAGAGGGCCAGTGCTGAGGGAGCGCCACACTGTCGGAGGGTCAGTGCTCAGGCAGTGACAGACTGTCAGAGGGTCAGTGCTGAGGCAACGTCGCACTGTCAGAGGGTCAGCTGTGAATGAGCGCCGCACTGTCAGAGGGTCAGTGCTGAGGGAACGTCGCACTGTCAGAGGGTCAG